GAGGACGTCAAGATTGATGGAATTCGACCGTCGTTTGACGTATTAATGTCTCACTGATGCGGGCTGGGCTTACATCCAATTATCGCCAATTTAATTGATTGTATAATGCTTTTATTAAAGTATAAAAAAACGTTTATATACCCAACAAAACAGCGTGGTGATAGTCGTAAAACTGTGTTTAATCGTGATATAAACAGGTCTCCAGCAGACTGCGATTGACGCGGCGCCGTCTCTCGATCTGTCATGTGGTTTCTATGTTGGTGGCGCCTGCGTGCGTCGAAAACGGAAACAGTTTTTGGAAAATTCCGAAATTGTACAACTGCTAATTTTAAACCTTAGTTAATTTAGAACATTTAATAAACCTATCAAATATTACATAAGACCTACCCTTTATATAGTTATAAAATAAAAAGAAATAAGTTTGCAAAATTTTATAATCACAATACATATTTCTTCTTATTTCTTATGGCAGTGTATTGAAATTTATAAATGTTTACTAAAAGGTAATTCTTAGTTATAAAATAAAAACAAATAAGTTTGCAAAAGTTTATAATCACAATACATATTTCTCCTTATTTCTTATGGCAGTGTATTGAAATTTATAAATGTTTACTAAAAGGTAATTCCGTTTTCTTCTATGAACTGGCTATTGTCGTTCCATACGGACACATTAATTCAATTTTATTAATGGCTTTGGCCATTTGCCTTACGGTACGCGAGAGTTTTCTGCCGTTTTGTTGTCGCAGAAAAATAAACCCGAAAATAAACTAACGTAAACCGCTTTGTCGTTGATGGTAAATAAAGATCTATTTTGTTTTTCTTTGACAGAACTAGTTAAATGTAAATTGAACGCTTATGTTATCACCAAAGTGTCAGTCTGTCTATCTGTCAAGGACGTTTTTTCTTAGAACTTCACTTAAATTAAACACAGGTATCTTATATGGGATATTTTTTTAAAGTTGTAACTTTCGACTTACGGTTAGTAATGGAGGCTAGAGTAGGACTTTATTTTTAAGATCATCTTGTGTCATGTTATTTTGAGATCATGGGGTATCAGTCAATTATTTGTATTTCATTTTATTGAATATTTTCCAAAAAAAAAGGTCATGTTTGTCCTCACTGTAACATATATTTTACTGATATACAACATGTAACAAAAACCCTATGGTTCCCGTTAAGTATGTTATCAGGATCATTATTCAAACCTATAGAAATAATTTGTTTTTAAAAGTCGACCATATTTTTTTTTAAATTTTATGTGGTTTTATTACCTCTTACTGACACTAGCCGATGCTAAAGCTAAGTAAAGCGGGGTCTTTGACAATCCTCTTACTCCCCAGACAATGCAGAGGTAATAAAACCACATACAATTTGCATACAATTTTTTTAAATAATATAAAATAATTATTGTTCGAGTATATAAAAAAAAGTTATTTCTATACGTTTGAATAATGATCCTGATAACGTACTTAACGGGAACCACAGGGTTTTTGTTACATATTGTATATCTGAAATACATTGAAGGCCAGTGGGTATCAAATTCAATCCAAAACGAAAGCTATAAAGCGTGTGAATCTCTTACAGCTGACCAGTCTTCGAATAGGGCGATGCCAATCTTGTGAGATTTGACATCTCCAAAACATAAGTGTGTTTTTTCAACACATAAAGGAGCCTCTCTTATCTTATTATATTATTATTAATCTTACATTAGCACATTTTTTAAATGTATCATTGGAATACACCGATCAACTTCAGTAGTGGACAATGAAGATTACCGTTGGAGCGTTGCAAATTAACTGCACGAAAGTTAGGTGCCCTAGCAATGGTGTGGCGTTAACACGCAGTGAAGCTGCATACTCTATAAGCGCAAGGCTGTTCGTACATGGAGTATTGCTATCATTTATGAGCTCGTGCCGCATAATTCCACTTAGCAGCTTTAGACTAAACACAATGCAATGATCTAACATAATTATTTCTGTAAATTTAAAAAAGGCCTACTCTAAAATAGATAAATATATTTAGGACATTGATGTGTGGAAAAATACCTTACGCAGAGTAAATACTTGCAAGTCCCCTGGCTATTGAGATATTAATAAAATTGACAATAAATAAATATTTATCTAAATTTGATATTGAATTGAAGTATACAATAAGTTGTAAATGAAATTAAACGTGGCATTTAAAAACATTAAAGAAGCATTCAATAAATATTAAAGCACCAGCGGTTCTTCTCTGAGGTTTTAATTTTCAGAAACAGTGTGGATTTTAATGTACACAAGAAGCTTTTAGCAATCATAAATTTAATAAAAAGTTTTCATTTTTAACTTGATTAGAAATGCGTGCTAAGAGGCTTATTGGACAAACTAAGTCAATAAATCTTACCAGTCTCGAATACTCATGATAAGTAGATGCTGTGGCCCATAAAGATCTACATCAATCCTCGATTAAGAATCAAAATGCAGATGCGATGTCACTCCTGAGGACTAAGATGGATTGCCTCAATTCCAGTAAAAAGGGTCTCTGATTCTCTACACTCACTATACAAAACACACCTGCATTACGCTGCTATTTTACGCTGGTAATCGAGTCGAGTCGCCCATTCGTGATACAACCATAATATTAAAGTTGCAGCGTGGCTCTATCACATGTATGCCTCTCCCATAATAAGTTCAATTCGCTACTTTAATTTAAGTCTCTAATGTTGTTAACATTTACTGAACTGAGATGTTTTTCTAGTTTGAATTTTGGAGTGTAAAAAAATGTATGCACATAAAAAGGTAATATTTCACTAAAGCGTTTATGTTGTGTCTCCATTTTATTAAACTTTTAGGCAAAGTGATAAAAATGAAGGGCGCGCCTTAATAAAGTCACTTGCTTTGTCTTTATTTCGTTGTATTTTATACCTCCTCCACGTTTGTGACGCAACATTTTTGATGAAGTTGCGGTACCTATTTATTAAAATATTTTTCATTCATTCATTACAGTCTGTCAAAACTCCACTGCTGAACATAGGCCTCACCCATAGATTGTCTTATAAGGGGGCTTTTCCAAAGTTGCCACGCTTCTTTTTGTTTATTTTGAGTTATTGTGATATATTTTCTAAGATGATCATTGTCTGTCTTGTTAAAATATTTTTCATTCATTCATTCGTTCTTTCATTATAGCGTATCAAAACTCCACTACTAAACATAGGCCTCTCCCATAGATTGTCTTATAAGGGAGCTTTTCCATAGTTGCCACGCTTCTTTTTATTTTCAGTTGTTATGATATATTTTCTAAGACGATCATTGTCTGTCTTAATAAAATATTTTTGATTCATTCATTCGCTCTTTCATTACAGCTTATTCAAAATCCACTGCTGAACATAGGCCTACCCATAGATTGCCTCATAGGAAGGATAATTGCCACGTCTGGCAGTCGCGTCGGCAACCGCATTTTTTTATTTTTAGTTCCTGCCCATCTCCTGGTCTGTTTCCCTCTGTCGCCTTTTACGACAACCACGAGACGATATGGTGTAGTGGACATACCAGAACAATTCTGCTGTATTTCGTTTGGTTAGAATCAAAAAAAGAAACATAGAAGAGGACCCGCGATATAATAATATATAATAATAGTGTGTAGCGATCAGGTAATTTGACTTGGACTTCGTCGGAATTCGCTAAGCGGTCATTTTTTTAAAAAAATAACGTTTTATCCACACCTTTTGTGCAGTGTGAAAAATAATTTTGAGAGCAATTTCATAGAGCCATCCCCAGCTTTTGATAATGTAGTTAACATTATCAATCATCCGTTGTCAGGAGCTGGCAACAGCTTAGAGGCTGTAACAAATGATTTTTTAAGTCTTTATGCTACGCTTACACTGAAAAAAAACTATTTAGGATAAAAGCCCACGTAAAAGTAAAACAGTGTTTAATAATACTAAAACAATAAATTACTTTATATTTCTTAAAATGAAATGGAATCCCGTGATATTTTACATATTAAAAGTAATAGTAAAATAAAGTGACGACCGATATACGTCCCACGGCTGGGCATAGACCTTTTTTATTACTGATCAGGTAATGAAGCAATTTGCAACAACATAACATATTGATTATACGTGTATTTCTTACAAGGTGCCAAAGAAGCACATATTTCACCTTGATGGTAAGTGGATGGTGTGCCCCATAGACACATCTACCCTTGATAAACACTCAAAATACAGCTGCTTCTGTATATGAACATGGAATGCCTGGTAACCACTAAACTTATCTATTTGCATCACCAACCATAGCAGCATTATGTTGTTATTTTACAATGGTATTCTATAAAACCATGGATAAAAAATGGTAGGCTTTTTAGGCCAATCCATTTGCACTGCAGCTATAATACAGCTTTAACGTAGCTCTGGAATGCATAAAATGAAATATATCGACATATTATGTTCTCAATTTCGTTTATGTTGTTGCACATCGGTACTCAAATCTGAAATCTATTTGCGGACAGCAGCAATATTGTTTCATAGATATAATGAGTTGTGTAGGCGAGTGTACAAATGAAGTAATATTAAATAGACGCGGGCGAGTCAACATACATAATTAATATCTTTAGTGAAAAGCATCATTGGTTTGACGAGAATAACGTTTAGTAAAAGTAGCAATTCTCAGTAAGTATGTATCTCCCATTGACGGTTCTTGGAATAGTCTCTTCTCAGACATTTGGTGACTTCGATATGCAGCGACTGATTTTTGGCTAATAGAATGCTAGCAATTTTATTTATTCTCACACGTGCACATAGTGTGCTTAGGAATGTCCGACTGATTCAATTTTATTAATGGATTTGGACGCTTGCCCCGCTGACTATTCTATTTGTCGCGAGACGCAGTTTATTGCAAGTTTGTATTCTTATATTCAATATTGAGTCTTGAGATTTGGTGTTTAGGTATATATTATCATATTGAAGTCTTTGTTAATTTTCACCATGTTCTATAAGGCGAATCTTCATAGCTGTCGTAGACTGCATTGAGTCAGAGTCTATACGAGAAGTCAACATGGCCGACCCACTTTCAGAAGCATTTACGAAATTGCTTTTGGATTAATTTGTTTTACGATTGACGTCAATTACAATATTTCGTCGTCTTTGGGAAACGTTAATTCATTTACGTTATGTGTTTTCAAAAGTTTTAAGATTAATCAATGGTTTAATTTATTTGTTTCAGAATGAGCTGGAATGAGCTGGAAGTGGGATTAGTAGCGGCAACACCAATGCTGTCATGACTGCTGTAAACTCGGTAAGGTTTTCTCATCTATACATATGAAATTGAACTGTGCATGTTATTAAGACATAAATAATGTCTGTCTCCCAGTCTGTCTGTCTGCCAGTCTGTCTGTCTGCCAGTCTGTCTGTCTGCCAGTCTGTCTGTCTGCCAGTCTGTCTGTCTGTCCGGACTAATCTTCGCAATGACTGATCTGATTGTGTCGAAACTTTAAGACAGATAGAGAGTTATACCAGGAGTAATATAGGCCATATTTTATCCGAAAACTGAACTTTTAGAAAATATTTAAAATAAATGGTTTTTAATTATCTTAAACACTAGTTCAATAATAGCTCTTAAGTGTAGACAATGAGAGACGAAAGTACAACTGGGCGGGATTTTCGGTGTGTAATAATAATATAATGTAAGCTCTTGTTAAAGGTTACGACACATTAGTATAGGACCTCAGTGCCTGCTTCTTCAAAGAATACCCGGCGGGGCGAATAGAGGCATTTAGTGTCCATCAAAAATACATACTAGGTACTATATCACAGTGTTCTAAGTGGCGCCCACTCAAAATGCGGTTGGTCTTTTCTCCATACAAACGCTCTCGCCTGTTTTCTTTCTGGTTTATGAACTTATAGTAATAAGTTTTTACAGTAAAATAAATATCAACTTCATCTATGTTCCTATGTTTTTCTTTTTGATGATACATTATCTTTATAAGCACTAGAATCCTTACACAATGCCCAAAATTGCCTATTTAGAGCGCTGTAAAAAAAACATAAGTGCACAGCGTATATCCTTCTTATTCAGTTTATGAAATATATTTTAAATTGATCCAATATTGGAGGAGGAAATAGTAGAGAGCCAAACCTCGTATTATGTTTTTTTACTTAGGCTATTCAGTCGGATCTGCAGAAATGTCCTTAACGGACATCGAGAGCTCGCAGAGCGATAGCGATAGTTTCTTCAAATATGTACCTAATTTTCAAAAGTCTCTCGGTCCATATTTCCTCTTAACGCTACTCTATGCCTCTTCGCTACGCCACACACTCTGCCGAAGCCTGTCCACTCGAGCCTTACGCTTAGGAAGCTAAGTGTTTCTATATTTATTCTTGTCTAAAGATGCTGAAAAAAACAGTAGTAAAGATACGTCAAAATAAGGGCGGTACTACAGTCCCTTCAATGGTGCCAGATTAACTGCCAGTACATCGAAGTGTTGAAATGCTTGTATCGTCCACATGGACCACAGCATCCACTTTCTTTCTATCTGTTTAACTATGAGCTTGTATTGTCAAGCTTTCTCTGTAAAAATAATTCGTTTAAATTTTTCAAAGTCATGTTTAAGCTTTTTTAATTATATAAATCTAATGCAAATAACAAGGCTTGTTCATGACTAGGTAATAATTTAAGAAAATCGAAAAATATTTTAACATTACCTCGGACATGTAAAAATATATTTTGATTTTTTTATATATCATTTTGATAAATGTGGAAGGCATATAGCCTAACTTAGATACCTTACTTGTACTATAGTTTTGAAATTTAAATTTTCATAAAAGGCGATCTCGAATGGTATTTATGTGTAGTTACTGCTGTATTTCATGTTTAATGTCCATGTCACACCTATGCCGCTAGTTGTTGGGAGCACTAAGCTCGAATTTGTTGACGAGTATGTTTACCTGGGACAAATAGTCCGACTAGGTAAGTCCAACTTCGACCGAGAGGTCAATCGACAGATTCAACTCGGCTGGGCAGCGTTCGGGAAACTACGACACATCTTCTCGTCAGACATACCTCAAAACCTTAAAACGAAATTGTACAACAAGTGCGTGTTGCCTCTGATGACTTACGGATCCGAGACGTGGTCCTTCACTGCTGGCCGTATGAGGAAGCTCAAGGTCGCTCAGCGAGCTATGGAGAGGGCTATGCTCGGGGTTTCTCTGCGTGATAAACTTAGAAATGAGTATATCCGCAGTAGAACCAGAGTAACCGACATAGCCCAACGGATTAGTAAGCTAAAGTGGCAGTGGACCGGCAAGAAGAACCGACAACCGATGGGCAAGAAAGGTTCTTGAGTGGTAGCCTCGTACCGGTAGGCGAACTGTAGGGCGACCCCCCACGAGATGGAGTGACGACCTGGTAAGACATGGAGGAAGTCGATGGATGCAGGTGGCTCAGGACCGTGCTTTGTGGCATTCCTTGGGGGAGGCCTATGTTCCGCAGTGGACTTATGAAAGGCTGTAATGATGATGACTGCTGTATTTACTGTTAGAACGTATAGTTACTGATTCTCTTGGATTCTGTCTCCTTTTATATTAAATTGAAGTTTCAAACGAACATACAGTCTATCTCGTTGTAAAAGGTTACTGCAGTCGATGGATACCTGCAGTCAACTTCAAAGAAGGTTACAAATTCCATGTCTTCTTCGAGGTCCAAAATATAATGCGTCTGCTATTCGGCGACAGAAATAGGTAGGGGGGGGGGGGTAGCTAACTAGACGGTCTCTTAGGCAGAAAATAAATCCTACCACCTGGAAGAACTGCTATGAAAACTCGACTCATTATGGATTTCATTCATTAGTAGCGTTCCTAATAAGTCTTTTGTAACCTTTTACTCGGCACTATGTGGCTTTAAAAAAAGTTCATTAAGTGCTAACGATGTCGAGTGGCACGGATCCTTCGTAATGATAACATGAATCTATTGAGCGCTTGAAATGCTTACAATTTAATATGTACTAAATGCGTCGTGCAAGTTTTATTTTCGCGATTAGAGATTTTATACAACGAAATAATATTTCGATAATACTATTTACATTTTAAGTATATTATGTGTATGCGCCTTGTAGAGATAATACCAAAAATATAAATAAAACCCTGATTTATTAATTATATACGCGAATCTCGAGTACTACAAATTTAACGAAACTAATTTTACGGATTATATGACATTTAATTTTAATTTATTTTTAATTTTAGACGTTCAAGAACATAATGTCCTCCAGACTGAATTTCGGGCACGACGGCCAGTCTCAACGGAGACTAGCCATCGGCGCAGGACAGGATTATAGTGCCCAAGTGTATGCGCAAGCACAGGTGCACTCTCTATTCCCTCACTCTCATAGTCTGATGGAACGATAAACCGACACGACCGGAGAGAGATCAGGCGCAGGACCAACGGCTTTACGTGCTTTCCGAGGCACGGGTGTGAGACACCGCCAACTTCCCGACACCGGGCAGCTACTGAGAATTTCTTGATGCAAAAACTCAATAACTGATTTTTTGGCCCGACCCGGGATTCGAACCCGGGATGTCATAATAAGCCGTCGCACTACTACAACCACTATTCCAACGATGCAATCAAGAACATTATAGCTGACGTGAAACATCTCCCAGGTCTCCAACTTGTTAAATCAATGCCTAGCTTTCAAGCTTTCCACAAAGTGCATTTTAAAGGCAAATTTAGAATAAATATATTTTGAATTTGACTTTAACAGAACGTTAAACATCTTAATCAGGAGACCATAACGTCGGAAAGCACTCGAAACGTCGGAAACAATAACTTAAAATTAATCGCGATCAAATCTGTAATAATAGTTCTTTTTTACTAATTATTGGTGCAACATATCGTGGCATTAGCAAAGAATTCATTCAGAGATTTCATACAAGTAGTTTTTTTGCACTCATCGACTTCAAATTCGTGTAAAAACCAACCAAGGTTTTTGTTAAAAAAAGGTTGTTTGTTAAAAAAAAAAAACTATATCAATTATAATTATAATTTACAAGCTGCTTTAGATAATTGATAATTTGTATAATTGGTGGCTCGTTTCAAGCTATTTCATAAACAGTTTTGCATTTACATATTTACTACTATAACGACCAAGACTAAGGTCATTAAAGGGGATTTAAGGGATTATCGGATAAAAATTAAGCGAAGACCCATCAGCAGCTGTTATCGAATCAAGCGGACATATTTCTTTTCATACTGCCTCGCCCTGTTTTATCTTCTCCCCGTTTTTTTTTTTCTTAACTATAAGCCCTCGTTTCGAGCTTAACAGCCAGCCATTGAGGCACGTAACTGCGAGTTGGCTCATCACGGCCCTCGCAGGTTCCCGTCCAGGTTGTCAAGACCTCTCGTGTTTTATAGTCGGCGATGCTTGAACCGGAAATTTTCGATGCATTAAAAGAGCTAGTCGTATCACATTAAACTGGTGAGTCGTAATGGCGCTAGCGGGCATTAGATGTTCAGCTATGGACGCCTTCCAAATCACATCGCATTTAAATAGATGCAGTTAAGCAATAGTTGACTAATGAATTTTATTCATGAAGTTGTGCATAGTAACTTTGTTTTTTTAAATTATTGTAAGGTTAATTTGTAATGTTATAAAGCTTTTGGAGAATTTGTTAGCAACATTTTCATTTAGTTCAGTTGTATTGAATTGTATAAAGTTAAAGTTATATAGGGGTTCAAGACTCTCATTTTTTAGGTTTTAGGGCAAGGAATCGTCCGCCGTTTGCGGACTTCACATGTTACGTAATATTTCTTTTTTTAATTTCTCAGACATGCAGGTTATCCTTTACCGCCCAGCACGTAGTGACATGAAGTCAGTCTGTTTGTCCGGGCAAATTTTCGTAATGGCTAAACCGAATGTGATAAAACTTCACGAACAGATAGAAAGCCATGCCAGGAGTGATTATAGCTATATTTTAACCTAAATACTTGGAAATTTTGTAAAATGGGAAAATTGATATATAATTTTTTTCTTCTTTTTATAAAAAACGTTAACCTCACACTAGGATTTTCTTCTGTATCGTGGAAGCCGTTTACAAACACAAATTGCACAAGGACAAACATCCAGACCCGGAGCAATTATTTGTAGGCCATACAAATACTTGCTCCATGCGGGATTCGAACCCGTGGCCCCCAGCGCAGCAACTCATTGCTAAGTCACTGCGCCCCGTAGCCGGGCGGGTCTTTAGTTATAAATAGTTATCGTAGTTAGCTCTTAAGGTTCATTTAAGTTGTAATAAATT